TTTTTGTTGACCTTTGTCCATGGAAGGTCCCTGCAAAATTTCATTGAAATTGGTTCAGGGGTTTTGGAGAAGAAGTCGAAAATGTAAATTGTTTACGGACGCACGACGGACGACGGACGACGGACGACGGACAAAAGGCGATCGCAATAGGTCACTTGAGACTTTGTCTCAGGTGACCTAAAAACTTGTGAAGAGTTTCATAAATTTCATATGAAATGAAAACAGGTGTAAGATCTTTTTTATCACATAATCAAGATTTGTGGCATTTATTTGTGTAAAAGGACAATTTTCATGCAACCTTGAAATCTAAAAAGCCGCCATTTTGACTCCAGTGCATAAGTCTGTGATGTCATGTACTTGTCCTAGGTGTGACATCACAATTGAAACAATTGAAACTTACAACCAATCACAGGGCTGATAGGTCATATTACATGAGTTAATATGCCAAAAAAATATGACACAAGTATATTCACTGGATAACAACACAGTACATTGTGTGATATTTTTTTTTACAAAATGTTGTTGTAATTTTTGTTAATTTCCATACAGTTAATAACTTACTTGAGTCTCATCACCTGATCCTGCATCAACGAGATAAGAGGTGATATTACCACTGTTGTTTTACCGGTATACAACGGCGGGTACTGGTAGCAAAGACTTTTCCCATGACCTGTGTTTATAACATACACCTAATGTGAAAGACGAAATTTTCTTGTTTTTTTTCTGCATCGAGTATCTATTAAAGTGCAAAAATATCACCATGTGAATATTGATCTACAGATTACTAAGATCATAGATAAATAGAATGCATAGATGTATTAAGATATATTGAAAAAGAAAAAAAAATCACACTGCAATGAGTTTAACTCATTCACACATGAAATTTCATAATGAACTATTCCAACCTTTGAATTGGAAGAGCTCAAATGTGTTTTCAGGGGTGAATGAGATAAAGGGTTACGATGCGATCCTATGATCCGCATAAATTAACTCTTTCACCCCTGAAATTCCATAATGAACTGTTGGTTAACATACCTGGTACACTTATTATAACTTGTATACCTTTCACTTAGCATGACCTGTATTCATTACCATACACTCATTGTGACCTGTGTAAATCAACATATTCTTACTGTAACAGGTGTAAATTACCATGCTATTAATGTTCAAGACCTGTGGCAGGTGTTGATTTGGCAGGTGTTTATGAACAAAATAATGATCAAGATCCCTTTAATTAACTTGCAAAGAATCCCATTAAAGGTTTCTCGTTTACTTTACATTCAAATATCTTTCAGGCTTTTCCCCCTTCAAAATCCCAGAATTACTGAATTCTGAAAGTATGAATTAAAACTGGTTTTACCTTAATCAAAAACATCACTTTCAGGTCAAAATTACAAAAACACAATGAATTTAATGTCAAAAGTCTGATTTGGTGTATATTTTGGCAGATGAAATTTGATACAACACTTAGCGTTTCTCCATTACCTGTAGCCATGATTACACAAGTGTCACGGCGATCATTGAGGACGGAATTAATTATCTTCCACTGCATTCTGTAAAAAGATAAATTTAGTATTAACGACTGTGGTCAAACTGTTTTTTCACTTTACAATAAATAAGTACTAAAGCCAATTTAAACAAGCATCCAGATGAAGACTGTTATGCATTTATAGCCAACTGATGATGCCCACACCTTACTGGCAAGAATTTTAATATTTGTCTTTTAACATTAACCCAGTGATATTGAATCTTTATAATATTCATCAGTCACTTTATACACAAACAATGTACGTATCAAATGTGTGTCAATGTTTCAAGACCGACTGGTCCCTTTGTCAAGCTATGACTGAGTTAGCATTGTATTATTTGTCTGTACAACGATGTGACGAAATTTCATATTTCACTCGACCCGGGATGTTTATTTTTAAAAGTAGCATACAAACCACCACTTACGGTCTGAATTTAGAATACCCAAAGTACTGCTTCAAGGTCGTCAGATATTTCTTATCTGCTGGTTGATTTTCAGAATCTGTACAGAAAACAAAGTTCTCATACCATTCGTAACAAAACAAAGATATTAACAGTAAGTATATATACATTTCTTTCAGTAATAAGGGCACCCCTATGATATTTAAATTATAATTTTAATGCTACCAAAAATTCTGATATTTTCTCCCCGATACCGATTTGGTAATTCTGAAAATATTCCCAGTTGGTTTTTACTATTTAGACAACTTCCGCAATCAAATTAGTATTGCATCAGTTCATATCGTACAAAACCAAAACTGCCAGGGAACACCATCTGCTGATATAGGATAAAGACATTCATGTGTCTGCTTAAATGAAGTCAGATATATTGGTTAAGGTAAAGGGTACCACTGCATCAGTTTTAATCGAAAAGAAGAGTTCCACTCAGAGTTTTTTATTTTGACATGGAGTAGTCTCCCTTCTATATGAAAGATGAAGCAACCTAAAGTCGTTTTTCTGGCTTAGAGTAACTTCCCCTGTCAAGTGTTCACATACACTTTCATTTTGATGCAGTTCTCGTATAATTCTGTATGGCAACATTAGTAAAGTGTAGGCGTTGTTGTGAAAAGGTTCCCAGATAAACCCCTGCAATTTTCTTTTTTCATCTAAATATTCTCAAATTGAGAACTAAAATTCTGACAAATGCATGGCAACATGTGTTTTTAATGAAGTAGTTCTTTTTAAATGGTCTTGAACGAATATTTTACAATAGTAACATTGGTACATATGTAATAATATAGTGTAACTTTAGCTTGTTGAAATTCTTTACCTTAAGGGAATAGGTGGCAAAACAAAGACACACTATTTGTAAGGGTTAAGTCTTATCATGCAATTTTAAGAAGTAATTATAACTGACCATCCTCCTCTGTATCTTCCTCAATTTGGTCAGCTTGACCACTCAAGTCACTTCCTGAATTCTCATGGACCAAGCTTTTTTCTGCCTCCTCTAACTCCTGCAGTGTCATTACATATATACATTTAATACTGTAATATTACAAATGAATAACTGATTCTCCCACTTTTTTTGCAAACATGATTATAATTTCTATTTTATTTTGCAATATTTTCACGAGTTCAACCATTTAAATATTGTTTACATACATTTTATATACATCATTAAATGAATAATTAGTTCCTGTGTAGGAACAACAAAATCAAAAATATCTTTTTTGTAATATTTCCGGAGACAATGTCACTGTTTCTGTTACTTTAAGTCTCCCTAAGAACTAATTAAGAAGTGAAAGAAAGGCCTAGAGACGATGCCACTTTTTCTGTTCTTATGAAAGTATTTTTGATATACAGTAATAAGAATAACTGACTCACTTAAAACAACACATACCGTCAACATGTCATCATTCAGTTCTTCATCACTGAAATCATCAAATTCATCCTTGACCTTTGTTCCTGTTGCCTTTTCCACTGGTAGACTCTACAAATATTAAATAATAATTAATAACAAATAAAATATTCACACCAAATTTCATTTGGTAGCAAATTGAAAGATGGGTTCACCAAACGTTTGCTTTGTGGAAAGTATTTATACACTGAAAATAAAATCCCTGTGCAAATACTTACCGGTGTGCAGTATAACCTTACCTGTTTACTATTGGAGTCTACTTCAGTCGTAGATTTCGTATTAACTTCAAATGTGAACTCATCAAAATTCTCCAGATCATCGAGTCCATCCGAGTCCCAGCCTTCCTGATTCTCTTTAGCTTGATTATCCAGGACAGTAGTAACATCGTCAGTCTTATCACTACTAGCACTGATATTCCCACCATCACATTTATTTTCTGATTTAATGATAAATGGAGTTTCTAATAGATCCATGCTTTGATTGCTAGCGTCCTCATCATCCATGTCTGGTCCTCCTCCATCTGTAGCATTTCCATGAAAATTCTCGTTTTTCACGACAGGAATATCTAACAAATCCAGGCTTTGATCACCAGCCTCTTCTTCCTCCATGTCTGGTCTTTCTCCATCCCTGGCATTTACATAAGAATACTCCCTTTTCTCAACAGGGGTATCTAACAAATCCAGGCTTTGATCACCAGCATTCTGGTTCAAACTTTCATCTTTCTCGTAAGATTGACATGGAGTGTCCACGACAATGACTTTAATGTCCATCTCCTTATCAACAGAAGTATTCAGATTTCCATTGTTGTCCTCTTTCTCCTCATATAGTTCATCTATAGTTGTATCTAGAGAATGACAACAAGAATTGTACCATTAAATCAACTCTTAGCATAAACCTTGGGAAAGATTAAAACATTGCTTTAATATCATGAAATGTCACTCTTGGGGGGGGGGGGGGGGGGGGGGGGGGGGCAATCGAACAAACATAAAATGATTAATTTTGGAAATATACATAATGTCATGACCTTGAATTATATTAATTATATTTGATTTGGATTTTGTGAGACAAATTTGAAGGGGCAGCGTTGGCCAAGTGGTGTTATATTCAAGGCCTCTGACATTCTGCTACCACTAGCCTTCCACCACTGGGTCACAGCTTCGAGGCCTATGTTGGGCAGTTGCCAGGTACTAGCTGTATATGTAGGTCAGTGGTTTTTCTCTGGGAACTCCGGTTTTCCTCCACCGCCAAAACCTGGCACATTCCGTAACGACCATAGCTGTTAATAGGACATAAAACACAAACAAACCAAAAAGAGACTAATTTGATTTTGTTTAAATGCTTGAGTGACTGAAATTAGATGACACATATTTATTTTAGTAGATATACATGCTACAAAATTAGTTGGTGGAGTACCAGGGACACAGTGCTGGAGGGTTAGTGATCGTAGACGTCAGACCCCTTAACTACTCGGCCACCGCGGCCCAGTGCTGGAGGGTTAGCCATCGTAGACGGTCAGACCCCTTAACCACTCAGCCACCGCGACCCCGCGCTGGAGGGTTAGTGATCGTCGACGGTCAGACACCTTAACGACTCAGCCACCGCGGCCCCGGTGTGGAGGGTTAGTGATCGTAGACGTCAGCCACCTTAACTACTCGGCCACCGCGGCCCAGTGCTGGAGGGTTAGAGATCGTAGACGGTCAGACACGTTAACCACTCGGCCACCGCGACCCAGTTCTGGAGGGTTAGTGATCGTCGACGGTCAGACACCTTAACTCCTCGGCCACCGCGACCCAGTGCTGGGGGGGTAGTGATCGTAGACGGCCAGACACCTTAACTACTCGGGCACCGCGAGCCAGTGCTGGAGGGTTAGTGATTGTAGACGGTCAGACACCTTAACCACTCAGCCACCGGGACCCAGTGCTGGAGGGTTAGTGATCGTAGACGGTCAGACACCTTAACCACTAAGCCATTGCGGCCCCTCTTTTGTCAGACATATAAAATCAAAGCGACTAGAACTTATTTTTAGCTCTCTATATATTTCCCTTACACTATGGTACCATTATATACTCAATATTTACCTTGAGAGGAATAGGTCATTCCATCAAAGGAATCGACAATATCTTGACGCTTGATGGATTGCAACTTCTTTTTAAGGATATTGAGAATGGTGGACTGTGACCTATTTTTTGAGACCTGCTTTTGCCGCCACCTGACCAGGGCCATTTTGTTCTGCTGGACAGCCTGACATGGGTGGTCTCGCTCAATCTGTTCCAACTCATACTGCTTCAGGCCAAGCTGAGTTGCCAAAAATTTCCAGTCATGGCCAAGTTTTGTAGCTACCTCCAATAGTCCCCTGTCTGACAAAGCACCTGCAAAGTATCAAATGTTTCATGGTTTAATTGAAAAAATTACACAGGAGTTGACAGAAACATGGGTAGAGGTAATTTATTTCAACAAGATATATATATACATCTGAAAGACAATCAAGTGCCTGCATTGCATTAAATATAAATAATGCAAGAAAGAGTTTTTTTTCATGCAAAAATAAATTGTATTGAAAAATGATGAAATTGTATTTAATAAGACATAATAATGGGGAACTACATGAACTGATTTTTATGATGAATCAGGAATACATTATTTGACCAAGCTACGATTTTAAATTCTTTTTTCTTAACATTTAATTCCCAACAGGAATTCATATTTTTAATGAATGAAGCAGATTTACAATGTCCATTAGCAGCTGTTCTTTATAAAATGTATAGACGCGATAAGCGGAGACAATGTTTTAATAACTGCAGAACTAGAATATAATGGTTTGACAACTGTAATTAACACATCTGATGTAACCAGCTTTTAATGATTTTAAAGTGTCTCGTGGGTCAGAATTTGCCGGATGTTTTAATACTACCTTATGTAAATACATGTACTGTATTTTATGTATGTATGTTAAAACATGTGACACTTTAATAAACTATTTTACTACTTACTACTACTACTACTACTACTACTACACACAGACAATTTTTACTACACACACACAGGCTATCTACATGTAGCTGGGATAGCAGCGTGGCCATTAAGCTCAGGCCAACAGAGAGTGTAAAAGCTGGGGGTTTGGGAGACACGACAAAGCCAGCAGGATATGCACAACAACAACACATGTCCAGGACTTGGATACCAATACGGACGATAGGCCACGTTTTGTCAGGCACCAGTCTGCACATTGAAGCGTGAACAAATTGTGTACGGAGAGACCGTCGCATAATATCAAACATTCTTACCAACAATACCAGTGTTTTCAGCTTTCCAGGTTACAATATCTATATTATAAAACAAAACAAAAATGGAATTATAGTATTACGGAACTGAAATTAACTGCCTACTTGGTATCCGATATATAATGCAACTTTAATTCTCATTGAAAGTCCTGATATTGCCTTATGTTAGCTTAATTACTCATGTGATTACCTGGTAATTTATTTTCAATTTAAAACCTGCTGAGTAATGTTACCAGTTTATCAAAGGATTTCAAGAAATCCAAGCTGCAAGAAGGACTAAATTCATTTGGCCGGATAAGACACCAAGAACATCATGAGTGTATTCTTCGTGCCTTAAAATTTTGTATGTGGTTATATTTTATGGTGTGGGGATTTCAACTGTTTCCATGTTATGACCAAGGGAGTTAGATAAGATTCCAAGGTCTCCATTTGTACAGAATAAGGAGAAGGAATTAAATCTTTAGCTCTAATTCCCCTATTGGGCCCTGTCCTCTGCCAAAGATGATGACACCCAGCCCCCATTTTAACAAAATTTAGTTGCCTTTGCCTGCAGGTATATACATATGTACCCTTCTGTTTATACCAAATTGATCATGAGAACCCTTTGGGCAAGGATGCTCCAGACCGAATTTGGGCAAAATTCATCGAGCTGTTAAGAACTAAAACCATTTTAAAGGAAAAGTTTGATGCTTGAAGGATGCTGCATCACAGCATATGCTCACTTGGCCAAGTGAGGTAAAAATCACGATATCTAAATATTACTTGAAGACAAATGGTTGAAGGATGGGTCACAATTCAATCATTACGATGATGGAAAAGATCAGCGTAACTTAATCAAAAACATTGGAAATTTCAAAAGATCATTACATGAATTACCTTCATAATTTTTCCCATCCACATCCTTACACTTTAATATGTTCAAGGCATCTTGAATGCTTCCTATTGCTTCTTTCAGACATGCACAGGACTTTTCTTTATCAGCTCTGCTTCTTGGTTGGTCGGCAGCTGTCTCTAGCTTTCTTACTAAGCCACACAATTTGTCCACATTGTTGGAAAACGCTGAGGAACTCATCCCAACTTTTATTCATGTCAAAGGTGACATCTACATGTGTATCTTTGCACCAATACTTGCTGTGTCAATGTTCCTGAAAATTAACAAAATCATTTTTCAAAACTATTTTATAGCGTCAGCTTCTTTTTGGAAGTTAGGTTCCATTTATTTAACTTGCAACTTACTAGTGTATAATTTAGACATGATGAGGATGCTCCCAGAGACTCGAGTGCTTGTAATTATTGTAAAACTATTTCAAAGTGTCAAAATAAGGGAGATAAGTCAAACAGGGGTAAATAATTCCTAGTCCACAGGCAGATTTTGAAAAACAAGAGGCCCCGAGGGCCTGTATAGCTCACCTGAATATTTAGCAAAATATTCTTATTAAATTATACTGCACTACAAATATTTCACTCGCAAACTTTGTTGACTCCATCAGTGGAAACTACCAGTCAAATATTATTATATGATTCTATGCTTTTTGGTTCTTCTTCAGAAGTTGTTTGAAGTGTTTGACATATTTCCCCCTGTGTCCTTGTAAGTAGGTCAAGGTCATTTTCCTTCTCAAACTTTGTTGGCTCTATCCCTAGAAGCTACCAGCCAAATCTTATGAATCCATTCCTTTTGGTTCTTCAGAACATATCGTTTAAAATGTTGTTGACCTCTGTGACCTTTAAAGAATGTTGAGGTCATTTTCATTCTCAAACTTTGTCAGGCTCTATCCCAGGAAGCCACCAGCCAAATATGAAGATTCTATACCTTTAAGTTCTTAAGAAGAAGTTATTTGAAGAGTTTGACATATTTGACCGTTGTGACCTTGAAAGTAGGTCAAGCTCATTTTCGTTATTAAACCTTTTCCGGCTCCTACCCATGAAGCTTTCAGCCAAATATCATGACTTTTGGCCTGTCTGTTCTTCAGGAAAAGTTGACGGACGACCACGGACACTTCAGTCAGGTGAGCTAAAATGTACGTAGTACAGTTGGACCTATCGTATTGCCATAGTTAATATTGAAAGTGTCCATAGCATCCACATAAAATCTTTAAGCCACGCCTGCTATATAAGTGGAACTTAACATCCCTAAATAACAGTTTAATATGTGATTAGTTATGTAGCATTAATCCAGAATTTTAATAAAAACAGATTTGCTTTCTATCTAAAAACTATCAAGTTTAATTTAAATACCACTGTATGACATGTGTTCACTTCTACACATGCAATTTTTTTATAACAGAAAAACCAAAACGACAGAGCATATGCAGAAGAGGTCAAGCTGATGATTTTAAACTTTAATATCATCATGTCATCAAGTGATAACTAATATTAGTTTGATTCTGGTCCTGAATTTGTACAATGCAAGTTAATAAGAATAAACATAAAACACATGAACATTTTTACTGATAAACCTTTCAGAAAATGTATCAATTGCATATATTCAATACATAATATGTATTTCATAATGTAACAGGAAAAAAAGATTTTCATGTGTTTGCAAAGTTTGACAGGCATACATAGGTGTGGTCAACACCTACTAATCATACAAGTCCCAAAAACACCAGGTGAGCTAGCACTGATTTGATTCCTTTCACACCTGAGTGATAATTAATAACTCCAATCTACCTATGAAGTTGGCCACCTGTGTTTTTCACACCAGGGCAAATTCAATTCTTTATTTTCATATACTCAGCAGAATGATGATAAACAGCACAAAATATTACATGTTAGGAGAAAGAGAAATACACAGCTAGTTTGGGATTGGAATCTGGGACCCCCTGAACTGTAGAGTAGGATGGACGCTCCACCAATCCTGGATCATTGGCAAATCAACCCAGCTCGGTTGTGCTAAAATTTGACAATCCTTTTTTTTCTAAGACTTTGCCTCCCAAAAGACACACCTATTTACAACCCAGATTGGGGTATCCCTTGCCAAGCACCCAATGGTTAGAGCAAGGGTTAGCAACCTACAGTGAGACATGACTTCGGAAAAGCACTCGAAATACTGAACTTCATAGAAATATTTTGCAACCTGCATTCCGACCATACTAACCCGTAGCCTGGTTTGCCAGAATTTACTCTTTGTTATGTTAATTTGGTCTCATGTTTAGCCTCTGATAACGCGTTTCATCGCAAATGATCTGCTAAACCCGTCCAACAAGCAACATCTGGGCCGAAGTTGTTGTGCTAAACTCCTAAAGAAAAGTGAGTTGCATATATGTATATAACGTTTCCGCCAAAACCTACATTGCAACGTTAAGTTCATACATTTGCAAAAAAAGTTCGAAGGCATACACTTTCTGTCGTAGAGGGTAAAGTATTTTCTAATTAATTTCATAAAATAAAACAAAAATGTCAACAACAACCATCCATTCCCGCGTCCATTTTCATTGTATTTCGGACTACCTCTAGACTGTAGTCTTCATTAATGATGGAAGCCATCCGGAAGAGAAAAGCACTTCCGGTTTACAAAGGTGTTGGCTGTTGACACAAAGCAACCGATCGAGCAGTACATGTAATTTACATATGAAAGGTATTTTGGCCTATTGTGACGGCAAGTGGGACGAGAGGCACATTTAAAACATATACTGAAGGAATATACCGTTATGATGTACTGACATTCGGTTTCGTCTCTCTGACCCAGGTAAATTGAAACACAGGTAAGTTAATTGAATTCTCAATTATCTGCTTTTAGATTTTGACTGTAACCAACAGGTGTTCATTGATCAAACGTGAATTGTTTCTACAGTTCTAGTCTGTGTTGTGCTAGGGAACACTTGTTGATAGCATATTAATACATGCACGTCAGTGATCAGGAATCTAAGAAAATAATAAAAATGAAAAATATAAATGTTGATAAATTATTTGTCTATAAAAAGACATTGAACATTAATCATATCACTAGCGTATACATTCATACAAATCTTGCATAGTATTGTTTCATGTTAGTTGATTTATAATCACCTAATGTCAATGTGTGGATAAAATTTAATTATTTGTTTGTGCATGTCAGCCGAAAAATTATCTTCTGCGAGCAGAAAAGTCCATGTGAGCAAAATATGCTCACATATTATATAATAAGTGTGTTCTTAATTTGGTGAAAATTAATTAAGTATGAATTCAAAATTTAGCTTATTAATATATTCTAAATAATTCTAATGTTTTAGACAGTAAACTTAAAATTAAATGAATAAGCCAGGAAAGGTGAGGACTCCAGTGGCAGATCCAGAGACCTATGTGAGGGAGGGGTGGTTCCGAATTTCCAGGGGGGTTTCCATGTGGAGAAAAATTGTAAAAATATATGATTTTTAAAGAAAATTCTCAGGGTGGGCCAGGGGTTTCTTGAAGCCCCCCCCCCCCCCCCCCCCCCCCCCCCCCNTAGATATCATTAGGATGAAAAGTCCAGTAACCATACAAATTAATGATTTCTGAAAATATATGCTGTATGTACCATCAAACGCTCAACATATGTGTCCACTAAAGGGTTACAATGAATCTATAAGATTTCAAGATTTATTTTTACACTCATGACACGCAAAGTGTGTTACAAGAGGTCAACATCTTAATACATTTCAATTACATATAGCAAAGTGAGTACAGATTGTGTATACAACATGTACATATATAATACTACAGAATCATAGCACTGCATTTATCTTATGTCACTTAAAGCCTTAATTGTTTTCTTTGGAAAACGACTAATTTTAGGTAAAACATTTAAATTACAAATAGAAATCTTTCCTTTTAGCTTAAAATTGCTGGGATTTGTAGTGTAATAATTATGGATACCGTATATATTTTTCTTATTGATGATATTTAAGTATTTTGACATTTAAACAAATAACGTGGTTCATCACCTATACTTGTTTGACAAAAAAGACATACAAGATGTATATTCTATCTGATTTGGAGTTGCATTCCAGCTTCCAGTCTCTATTGAATTGGGAAATTTGGATTGGACATTCAGAATTTACAAATAATTTGCCTATCTTTTTCACTAAGTTTTGTTAGATGTGATTCATACTGAAAGTTTGTCTTAAATATGGAGTAGAATTTACCACAAGAAGAGTTTTCTATCTTTTGGAACCATTTCTGTATAAATTGATCTTTTAACCGCTGTTGAACTACAGCTTTGAAATGATTTCTATTCATAGTACATGTATTTTGAAAAATCCACAAATTACTAAAACCTAACTTGTTTAATATATCTTTTATGTAATTATTCCATTTAAAATGCATTTGTTCATTTGTTTGTAAAATATATGTCATTTTATATATCAGAAATGATAACATTTTAAATGAGCATATCAAGAGATCTAACATTAACTAATTTTATGCCATTATATACAATGCTATTTAACAGTATACTGAATACTGGATTAGTCCCAGATTCTTGGACAGTTGGAATAATTAAGCTTATTTATAAAAATAAATAAGAAACTTGCGACCCGGACAACTAGAGAGCTATAACTCTAGTGTCTTGCTTGGGGAAAGTGTTTACTCATATCATCAATAATAGATTAACTAAATTAGCTGATGAAATTAACCTAATTTCTCCTTCTCAGGCAGAGTTTAGAAAAGGTTACTTGACGACTGAAAATATTTTTATATTATACTTGATATGCTCATTTAAAATGTTATCATTTCTACATGCTTTGTTATGTTTTAAATTATTTACTGCACGTATAACCTCTTCCTCGGAAATATCTTCATCAAGTATTTGGTAAAAAGTATTATTTTCTTGTTTGGGAATATATATGTTATCATCATCCCGGTCATCAGTTGAATTGTTCAGCTTTTTTGAAATACTCAAAAAGTTCATTTATTGGTTTGTCAGCTTTATTAGATTTAGCTTTACCAGGTAATTTATTTAATAAATTCCATTGTGTTTTTGGGATTACTATTTGCAGATTCCCTTATATATCCTTTTCTATTTTATGCTGATATTCCTTAAAATACCTATTCATTGTTTACTCTTATTTCTCGGGGCTTTTTTGTTTATTTAATTTTTCACAATTTATACTTACTCTTGGCCAAGTGGAACTCATTTTTCAGTTTTCTACATTTTCCATTATACCATGTTTTATTAGTTGTACATCTATTACTCTTGCGCTTGTCTGGATATCTTTTACCGAACGCCTTATTAGCTGACCTTGTGAAGAGGTTACCTATTCAACACATGATGTCGTTAAGTTCGGTTTTATTAATTTGGTCCACAGGTGTACGTATCATAGAGTTGTTTTAATGTATCACTAATTTTGTTTACACCATCTTTATTATCGTTTTGATTACGTCTACAAATATATTAATTTTCTCACAGTTCCATTTGACAAAAGACACGCTATTAAAGCTTGGGTCACCCTGGCTGTTGTTTTCATTATTAATTCCATGTAAGACGAGTTCAATACTACAATGGACATCTGATATTAATGGGTTGAAATCAATAACTTTGAGATTCTTAACTAGTTTGAACAGATCTGAAGATAATAACACATCATCAATGACAGTTGAATCATTGCAAGTAACCTTACCAATATTTTTATCATCACCTAGTCTGCCATTTGCTATATCCAAATTGTTTAACTCATTCACCCCTGAAGACACATTTGAGCTCTTCCAATTCAAAGATTGGAATAGCACATTACAAAATTTCAGGGGTGAATGAGTTAATTTACAAAATTCAAGGAGCTGTTATCCAAAATTATGAATTTTAGCCTTACATTCACTAAACCTTTGTAGTATTGTAATTATCAATCAGTAATTAATTACACCTACACCATGTCCTTCCATTCCCATACTTGCCAACTTCTTGAAATATCCATGGGGGAGATTGTGTATGCTCAGAATTCAAAGTATAAGTAAAATGTATGTATGTAAACCCTAGGGGAAAATAACACTTTTAAATGGCATGATTTGAGCTGTTCTTTCAGATGAAATCATCAGATCTTAGACTATATGAATAGTTAAGCAAATTCACTGGTTGAAAATGCTCAATTTTAAGGTCCAAACTCGAGAGTCTCCCTCCAAAATAGGGAGAGTATGCATTCAGAAAACAAAGTAGACCTGAGTACTAGCTGAACTTTACCAGCATGTGCTTAAAAAGATATATATATTTTTTACAAACAAAAGCATGGCCAGATCAGGATTTGAACCCTGGACCCTCCGAGCTTTAGACGGACACTGAATACCAATTGAGCTACCTCAGGTACATTGTATATGGCTATAGTGATTGACCTACCAGGTAGTCCAGTTTTGCTACATTTTCAGACCCTCCTTTCTCTAAGTCTTTGCCCTCGAAGACACATCTGTTTACAACCCAGGTTCGGGTATCCCCTTGCCAAGTACATCATGTACACCAACTACTTAGAACAAGGGTTGGTCACAGGCACCAATGTAACAGGAGAACAACAATGTATGGCCAGACTGGGATTTGAACCCAGGGCCCTCTAGATCTGTACTCAATATATATGAACCTCTGACCAATTGAGCTACCTGGTCACTCAGTCAATCGACCCAGTCCCGTTCCGCTACATTTGTAAAGCTTAAGATTCTTACAGATCCTGAAACCAATGTCAGAATCTGTTACTAACTATATACAATGTATGTTTCGGAAAGGTTTTTTTTTTCAGCATACCATACATTTGGTAAATCATTTTGAAAAGAAATTCATACCTTACAGAATTTTTTTGAATAAAGATACAAAGATGAAAAAATGAAAAATATAGTGTTTTGTAAAACAGCAACAAGGGTGGACCATAATTTGAACACTGGCCCTCCAATCATTATACATGTACTATCACCTAGTCGACTGGGCTTAACCAGGCCAACAAATGTCTATTGTAGCACAGAAATGAGCACATACCATATAGATATTTCTCTCATTTTCCTTTGTGTGAGATAGAGCTGTCCAGGGTAAGAAAAATAAAGGGGTGTAGGAAATTTCTATCTTACACTCCATTTCATGTGACATCACGAATTTGGAACTCTCCAATGTCGAAATGCGGAAAAGGCGACGGGATGAGATTAAAAACCTTTTACCATATATTTACTGTACACGTAAGAAATATGTGATTAATTTTCCTGCACAAACTTTGTTTGCCAATATGCATGGGATATGCTTAATCTGGCTGGCTTCGTTTTCGTCTAAAAAGCTCGGGGGGGAATTGATATTTTGAAAATGCTGACCTGTCCAAACACATTTTCATGGTTTCAGAGCTTATTCTAGTGATTGGAATGAGAGAAAAATACTCTTTCATGCCCAAGGGTGTAGGATAAGGAAATTCCACCCTCAGGATTTCCCTATCCTACACCCCTGAGCATGAAAGAGTCTTATAATATAGAACCCTACCATAGAGCTTCACACCATTTGATTGAGATAGTACAGATACTACCATTGTATTTAATAGCTTGCATGGGCACTGAGATAAGGACAAGAACAGAAGATCATGGATAGGTATGGCAAATCAATAGTAATCATTGTTCACATGTCATAGCTGATGCCGTTTACCTGTTGATGGTAAGTGCCATTGTACATTTTCCTGCCATCTCGCAGACAGAACTCAGCATCTAATAATGTAAGTGTGAATGGTGGGACATATTGGAACTACTGTATATACTGTATGTCACATGTCATTAAGATGACTATACTGTATAATGTCAC